TGTACACATTGCAAGGGGTCTATTATGAATTGTGCATTTTATTTTCCTGAAACTAATTCTTCTCAGAGAAGAAATCTATGTGTACCCTCCCTTAATCTTTTACTTTAAAGAACCTATAACATCCGTCAACAAGAGCAAAGGGCTACTCTGATCAGGGGCGGATCCAGAATTTTTAAACAGGGGTGGCACAAGAGTTTCAGAATAGGTAAGTGAGTAGCACATAACCTTGATTTGCATTGAAATTTTTGAAATTTAGTGGCAAAATGGGGGGGGGGTGGGCTCCTACTGGATCCGCCCCTGCTGATGTTCAGTCCACCACAGCCCCAGTGAATAAACCTTTCTTGTACATGGGAAGCAGCAGAGGATTAGTTTAGCAGCAGAGAGCTTTAGGAATGAATTCTGAGAACTATGTGATTCATGAAACAAAAATATAATTATAATTACAAACGCCAAAGACTGTAAGCTAACAAATCAAACTCTGCTGTACACTAACACTTGATGACTGATGTTGTCTACTGATTGTCGGGGGCAATCTGAGGAAATTGTCACTAAAATGATCTGTTGAGTATGTCTTGTCATATTGCATTCTCCATAGAATCATATTGCATTCTCCATAGAGTTGCATTGGCCGAATCATTAGAGACTCCAGGTGTTGAATGGTTTTAGTCATGAGAAAAAAAAAATCGAGGACCATCTAAAACTAATGATTATTAAAGAAATAAAATGGGGGGTGGAAATGGGGAATAATATTAATACATTCTTTGCTTGGTTCTTTCCCAGGCAAGGTGAATGGTATAATGGAAGTAAGGCTTTCTGGTTACATCCAACAAGTGTCTGTCAGTAGATATGATGACATCGTTTTATTAACAGACAGCAACCAGTTGTACTATAGTTATGCGTATTCTACCTCTTTTCTTCAGGTAAACTTTTGTATTTTTAATTACCAAATCTTATTGTCCATTGTCAAATATGTTAATTATTATTTTATGTATTCCTCGGCCTGTCATCATTGATTTGTTCTGCTTTCTTAAATAGCTTGGTGCATGCCAATTACCAGATATTTCAAGTAGTGTTTATTTTGATGTTCTTAGTAGGCTGTATACTATTTCATTACGGTACGTATGTAATTTATGTATGTTTTTAAGCATGCATATAGCATCTTTCCTTTGTAGAGCATTTAGCTCATGCAGTCAGCTCAACTGGTAGTAGTCACTGTGTGAGCGCTGCAATGTGGAGATATCTTGGTCCCCGGTTGAATTTTCATCGCTGCTCTCCTTGCGTTTCTACTGGAGGGCTGAAATTCCAAGTTTTTTTTAATTAGACATTTAAGCTGTTAGGTCTGCGTGCAAAATGGCCCATGTGCATGTTAAAGAACACAGTATGGTCTTTTGGAATAGAGTAAGGGATTTTACTCAGCGTATTGCCCAATTCAACACCAGAAGGACCCCGCTGTAAATAAGTGTTGGCATTTTCGTGAGTTATCATTGGTGTGTATGACACCGAAGAAATCCAATCCAATCCAATCATTGCGGTTAACAAAGCCTGTTTTATATTCTGGATCATTGGGTCCACATGATTAAGCGTTGCTGCCATATCTGCACAGGAGCAGGCAACCTCATTAAGTAAAACCAATTGTATACACCTAGGTGTTTAAAGAAGCAATACAGCTAAAGTGGCTTGCTCAAGAACAAAGCAAGGAATTTAAATCTGAGTGTTAAGTAAACCAAACTGTTTTATCTCTAATCATGCAAATCTTGTGTGATGATTATTTTATGAGTAACATTATTATTATAATAATGAAAATAATAAATATTATTATATATATATATATATATATATATCATTTATATAGCACCTTTGTAGATACAAAGCACTTCTTTCCCTGTTCATTGGGTGCACATGCTTTTACCCTGGTGGGTACCTGGTACCCACCAGGTACCCATTTATACTCCTGGGTGGAGTGAAGCAATACAGACAAAGTGCCTTGCTCAAGGACACAAGCAAAATGTGCAATGAAGGATTGAAACCCTGACCTCCAGGTTGGGAAACCCAAACCGTTTCTGCGACAAACCGCTTCATAATCACAATATGAGTATAGCTTGAAGTCTGCTTGGATTACTATTACAATGGCATACATTATGGTAACGAACTACGAAAAATGTTGACGATTCCGAAAATATATTCTGTCCTATTTGTATAAATATATAACGATCTAGTTAAAACACACAAAATTTGCTTATAATTAAAGTAAAAATGTATTGAATATTATAGCAATAGGGATGTCTTGAGAAGGTCCTATCCATTGTTGACTGAGGTGGAATCAGCTTTGTACCCATCAGTAAGTATCATTACCATTCATTCAATTCAATCAAGTGTTTCATTGCAATAAACTTTACATTTTAGCCAATTATTAAATTGTGTAAAATTTCATATTAAAAAATATTGCACATAAAAAAAAAGTACAATTTAAAATAAAACCACTAACCAGTTGTATATGGTATTTTAAATTGTAATCATGATATTATAATAGAAGAATTAAGAAATGATGAAGTGGGTTAGTCAGCATAAAAAAATGATATTTTCCAATGGTCAACATTATCAACTTTGAAGATAATTGATATATAACAAAGTTTTCCCCCAAAAGTTTGTAAGGTTTGAATCCACTTTCCACCCTGAGATTGTTCATCTTGACATCAATGAAGAAGTTGAGCTGAAGGTTCATTTAATCCATTCAACATCTCATGCAGATGGAATTCAGGTTAGTATGTTTCGGTCTTCCAGCCGTGAGACCGGGGGTTCGAACCTACGCTGTGTATTTCGCCTGTGTTCTTGGGCAAGGCACTTTACCTGTGTTGATCTCTACGCAGGAGTATAAATGGGTAACCGAGGGGAGTGGGGGAAGGTAAAAGATGGCATGGAAAGGAACTGGCCACCCTACCACACAATGTAGAGGCTTACTACGAGGAGCTAACAGCTCATTCGCCTACATTCAGTAATGAATACGGGACTACCTTTACCCTACCACACATCAAGTATACGGCATGCCAAAGGCAGTACCAAAAATGTATGTTGCCCAGAGGCAGATTCAAAAGGGGTTCAGCTGGCCCAAGCCCTGTCTCCTCTAAATTGTTACAAATTAAAAAAGGGGGAGGGAGGAAATAAAATTGCATTCAAATTTAAGTTTGAGAGTACCATTACAGCAATCTACAGACATAATTTCCTACCTCAGTCTCAGCCAGACTGAGGTACAAAACATTAAGTCAAATGTCTAATTGAATACTTAGCGATATGGAAATGGAATCATAAGAAAGGAAAAGGAAAGAAAAGATAAGGAAACATAAGAAAGATAACAGTAAGAATGATAAGGAACATAAGAAAGGAAAGGAAAGAAATGAATTTGGAATCATAAGAAGGTAAATGGAAAGAAAGATAAGAAATATAAGAAAGTAAAAGGAAAGACAAACTAAGGATGAATAAGGAAAAGGAAAGATAAGGAAACATGAGAAGAGAAAAGAAAGGAAAGATAGACATGGAAACATTAGAAAGGATAAGAAAAGAAATGATAAGAAATATAAGAATGAAATATGAAAGACAGATACGAATTATAAGCAAGAAAATGAAAGGAAAGATAAGAAATCTAAGAAAGGAATGTGAAAGATAAGATAAGGAAACATAAGAAAGGACAAGAAAAGTAAAGATCAGGAACATTCGAAGGGAAAGGAAGAAAGACAAGAAGCACAAGGGAAAGAAAAATGAAAGGATTTAGGATGAATAGGAAAGTAACAGGCCTTGAAATGATTCCAATAACCAAAGCATTGTAATAATAACATTTATTGATAATCATCAAACCAATCATTTGAACTTAATTAATTTTTCTTCTTCTCTGTTGTTGTTAAGCGCCTCGAGGTTGTGTCAATGTGAGGCGCTATATCCAGAATCATATATTTATTATTATTTCCATGATTGGTTTTTTTTTTAATTATTCTTAGGTGAAAGTTGCTAATTCTCATCTAGCTTCCTTGGTCGTGCAAGATGAAATGGAATTTTTTCCAGGCATTAGAGGAATATTCAAGGTAATGCTCAAAATCTATTGTTATGACATTATAGCATAATTAAGGAAATACAGTAAGGATAGGACACACACATTGGGTACTGGACAAGATTAATTCAGACCTAAATGTCAGAAAGTCCTTCATTGAGAGAAAACTACACTACATGGGCCACATTATAAGAAAGAACAGTGGAATTGAAAAGTAAGTTCTTCAAGGAGTAGTCGAAGGCCAGTTGTGGAAAAGAAGACGTCCATCGATATCTTTGATCGATGATGTAAAGAAAGTTACAACACATGGAATGTATGGTGCAACTCTTTTGACACCATACAGAAGATGGTGCTCTTGTGAAGGCCACAGCAGCGCAACTCACCACAACCTGACTCACACACACACACAACCGAATAGTCTAGTCTTAGCAAGTTGAGACAGAAAGCAAATTTTTGCTGCAGCACAGACATCTGAAACCTTGCAGTGACGGACTTATTAGTCTTTTCCAAGATGATGAAACCATGTAAACAAGCAGGAAACACTTAGCATTACCCTTCAGCCTCTGCCGAAAAGATTCGACAACACATAGTCCATTTAGTTATTAGGATCTATGCATAATTAATTATTTACTTTTATCTGAATAGACTCTGAAGATTGCTGTCAATGCAGACTTTGCTATAGCTTATAAGCAATCCGACATTCAGGGAATTATGTTGATAGAAGCCGAGCCCCAAAGAGCTGCCATTGAATCTTATCGACCGTCAAGAATGGTGAGCAAATAGTTTTTGTATTTTGTGTTTGTGTTTTGTATGATCAGCAAAGCTGATCATTGGGCCCTCAACAATTTTTTTATGTATTTTAGGCACATGGTCATATAGTTCACATAATATTTCAGTAGATTGAAATATTCCCTTATTTTTTTGGCTGCTATGACTGAGCACAGGTGGTCCACCCTCTGACACCACTCCTGATTGATTCAGTATCCAATTATGTTATTTTATTTTTTTTAACTTTATTACTTTCAGCACACAAAACACAACAAACAACAAAACAGAATTCCAAGTAAACAAAGAAAGAGAAGGGCTACGGAGAGCAAAAACAGTACAAGAACTACTGTCATTGGATGTATTGTGCCCCTCCATCTCCAATTTCAATACATATTAACATAAAATAATTTCAATAGTGTCTAGCAGTTCTTTTTAAAATAGATATGTGCGAAGTTATATGAAGCCTACATAAATGAAATAAAATACCTTGCAGAGGAATTTATTCTGCCATTGCAGCGCGTCTTTACTTATTGACATCGCCAGCAGCAAGCAAGGCTTTGTAGGTTAGACTAACAAAAAAAAATAAAAAATTCTGTAATAACGCATTAACAGATCTTTGGTTAGACTAAAAGAAGTTAAAAGTTATTGGCTTTAAAAAAACCAAATAAAAAAACAAGGCACATTTTGCTTGCTGGTCGCACTGTTTCAGCTGTTCTTGATTTATAAGAAATAAAAGTCTAGACTATAGGCTATAGCTTTACACTATCCTAAGGTATACTTTTCTTCACTAGGTAACGCAGGTAGCAGTTGGTTGTCCTCCTGATAGACATATCAGAGTTGTTAAACCACGAACCTGTGACACAATCAGACATTTTATAATACCAAGGTAGGTAAACATTAAATGCCCCAATTAAAACATTTAATTCAGTAAACAATATTGTATTCACAATTCTTTTCAGAAATCTCTCAGGTAGTTGATTAAAATAAAAGTGTTAATAAATATATTTCAGATCAGCCAGACAGGGAGAAATGACTGATACAGTAAGTTATATTTTTCATTCTAGATAACAGATAAATTATATACAATAGGCCTATTCATGTCAATCAGTGATAAATTCAATATTGAGTTTTTGTTGTATGCAAGTTCTGAAAAAGTAATGTCTACATGATTCACCAACATTATTTCAGAACCAAATTTTATTATACATTTTCATTCATTTATTGCCAATGAATGAGCTTATCATGGACAGTCTTTAAATTATTTTTTTTTAAATTGTTGAGACTTGTGCATAATACACTGTCTTTCCTTATTATAGATTGTTCAATATGATTTTGGGACCTTTGGCTGTCCAATAGAGAGCAAACATCATCAGCTATTTCGACCAACACTACACCTGTAAGTCATTTCAAAACTGATCTCAAATTTACAGTATAGTAGTTTTGGTATTCTCTTTGTTGTGATGCAATATTATTTGGTTATATGATAATCTTTGTGTTGATTATGCAATATCAGTTGGGTATGATGGGTCTTTGTTGTTGTTGATGCACTGTTAATATTGCAATGTGTTTTTAGATATGATGGAGAAAAATATATGGAAGACGTTACCGCAAACTTTGTGTTATGGGAGTTACATCAGCGTACAGATTATACATACAATACCACTATGAAACAGGTATAATTTCTATACAGGTATTTAGGCCCTGTAATAACAAATAACAAGGAAAGTCAACCCTTATAATTCCAAGATTTTGAGAATGCCTATTTTAGTTTTTCCCTTCCCACAAAATTTGCTAGAATAGGATCCTGTTCTAGTTATGTAATTAGGCTAGGAAACTATGTCAAGGGGCAACCGATGCTGTTGGAGACAGTGCTGTTATAAAGTGTGCATCATACCTACTGCTTATCTAATTTTTGTTTATACGATGCTCCTTGATCTTGAATATTGTATGCTATGCATAGCAGGCATATAGCATGTCATAACTAGAATTCAGCTATCTTTGTAGACATTTAATAATTACATAAATTATTAATTTTCTACTTATCATTACAGGCCAGATGTTGCAAGGCTCCTCCAAGTTGGTTTGGATTTGATGAACTTATTACAAGTTTTGACACTGGAAGTCAACTGGTAGAGGACTTCTTATAACTTGAATTGGCCTTTTGCACACAAACCTAAAAAGATCAAGCAAACTGTACTAATGAAAAATTAGTGCACGGTTGGGATACAGTGATGACATCACAATTGACTTATAATACTATTATATATTTACTATTCTTTAGAATAAGTCCCAAAGCCTATCGGAATGATAAGTATTATATTATGTTTCGCTAGTTTAAAAAAACTGTCCAATTTTTTAAAACTTTTTATCCAAGTTGTCTTATCCTTAATTTTATTCAATTTTTTTTTTTCAAACGTTCAGAATTCTAGTTGTTATACAGAGCCCTGCAACATTACTACTGATCTATCTCAGCCATACAATATAATGAACAACTCGGGGCTATCATCTATAAAATGGAGCGTTCAGCAGGACACCATCTTCCAGTTCCATGCAGCTGTAATTGATATGGATTACAGGCAAGTCTTAAAAAAAACTTTTTTCCAGTCCAAAGATTATAAATGTTTGTCAACGAGATGTACAGTAGATTTTAGCTGTGTTCGCATCAGAGGAAAATCTGAGTAAAGTGGGGGGGGGGGGAGAAAATGCAAATTG